GGGGATAATCTGACAAGTAGCAATAGCCTAGTTGCTTTTGATATATTTTTTATTGATAGATGGCTTTGCGTGAATGAAGGAGGCACACATTTAAAAGATCCTAAATACAGTTTTCCTGGAATGATGTGTCAGTCAGGAAGGAGAGAAGAGCCATGTTGTGCTTTAAACTTAAAGGAAAATAAGATCTTGACACAGGAAGATAGAGGAGGGCACTGTTGTGGTATGGGCCACAGCCGTGCTTGGTCTGGAGAATGCATGAGTTGGGGAACTGGCTCTTTGGGGATCCCCTTTGACCAACCAATAAGGCTACGGTGGAAATCATGGGACCTGCATGGGCAAGAGGCATGTTGAATGGGGGATATCGTAAGGAAGGGAACTGGGTGAGATGGAGTGAAAGAGCTGGCTGGATCCAACCCCTCTTCTTCCCTCTTGCCCACTTCTTAGCTCCTGCCTTCCACAGATAGCAGTAGAACCCAGGGATGATGATGGGGGAGGGCGAAGGGTGTACTTTGTGAGTGCCCTGAAAGAGGGGTGGGATCCAGCCAAGGCTTGCAAACTCATTACTATGAAGTGATGTATTTATGACATTTCAAAAATGAAATAAGAAATATTTCTTTCATGATGCATAAGATTGGGGGTGGGTGGGATATGTTACAAGTTTGCAGTGGGCCCAGAAAAGTTATGCTTGGCTGCCAGCAGTGTCGGCTCCCTTGAGGTGCCTCTCCTGGTGTGGAAAGACCAGACTAGAGAGTCACTGTGGCTCCTCTATTGCTGACCACAGTGAACATTCTGGTGTCTGTGCGAGCAGACGGTGTGCATTCTCTGCCGGAGAGTTCTGTTCCTTTTAGAGACACGGCTGTCTCTTTGAGATGCACCAATGACCTAATGCCTGTTCGGTGATTTGGATTTAGTAGAGGAAGATGTGTGTGTAAATGGGGGGAACGGGGACGGCAGGCCGCCTGAAGTCAGTAAGGCAGCTCATCTGAAATTCAAGCTCAGTGGCTCAAAGAGGCATTTGTTTCCTTTGCTCCAGTGTTACTTGCCAATCTATATATTTTAGTTTCTTCCGCTCAAGTTGTTTGCCCTCTCTTTCATTCTCTTTGGCTTCCTTAACTAAGCCTGTGTAGTTGTATGAAAAGCATTTCCTGCCATTACATTTTTTTTTGGGGGGGGAATATCCCACAAAACCAGCTGTTTTCTATTATATTTTGTTTTGCTTACACAAATACACACACACACACACGTGTGTGTGTGATAAGAGTGCATGGCATTTCCAGAATAGTTTGCTGAATGTGAACTGCTATTAAATCACACACTCTCATCAATACAGGTTTTTTTTCCCTTTTGCAAATTATAGTGCGTATATCAAAGCCAATGCTGTCAGATTTCGGAATTCGGTGTCTGGAAACGAGCAGGCTTCAGGGAATATGTGACCCTGTCATGATCCTAACAAAATACTTTTATTGATACTAAATGTCACTTGGCTGCTAAGCCAGACTTCCTCAGCACCATTCTTATTTTATGTGCGTTTAAGGGGAACACCGAGCAGCCTGGGGTTTTGTATGCACTTCATTTCTGTGGGAAAAACTACAGATTGTGGTACTGGTACAAAATTTAGTTTCTTAAGGAGATCAGCCTTTGTTGGAAAGGAGGAAAAGGTTTCTAGCTTTATTGATTGCAAAGTTCGATGCAAAATTGTATGAGCAAAACGTGGTGAATTCAAAGAAGCCAAAGATATAACTGGATCAGCCTGTAGTTCCTCTCCCCTCAAGAACAGCAGAAGCAGAGTAAATGATACAACCAGTGTTCCGTCTAAGCTGAGTTAGTGTGAGCTAGCTCGCAGTTTTTTAGCCTCCAGCTCACACATTTTTGTCTTAGCTCAGGAAGGGTGGCTCCAGAGCAAACTTATTTATGCAGTAACCAAATCGCTCGCTCACAGCTTTAATGCCAGTAGCCCACAAAGTAGAATTTTTGCTCACAAGACTCCACACCTTAGAGGGAACATTGGATACAACCAATTTAAAAATGCAGAATAATGCATGCAGATAAGATAAATGAGGCATAATTTGCACAATGTGTACAATTGGCTGGATTCAGCAATTGTCATAGGATGGAGATTATTTTTGTGCAGAATTATGAATTATTCTTTCTTTTAAAATGTAGAGCTCACACAGCCCTATTTCTCGTTGTTTGCAGAAAGCTTGCACATGAGGAAGATAGGGTACCAGCATGATACTGATTCTTTAAAACAGAATTAAAATTAAACAGGCTTCTGGATTTCTTTGAAAGCAAAATCTCATGTTTCTGCCGGAGATCTATAAGCCTTGAAATTCATTTCTGATATGGCTGCCAGGCCAGTCTTGTCAACATGTCATTGTTGTTGTCCTCCAAGAACACACTTTGCTAATGCTGTGTTCGTGCCTCTATTTCTGTGCTGATGACTGGCTGTGGCAAGAAGGGACATGGGGGAGGGAAGATGTAGCAGTTGATAATCTGCTGATGTCTCCTTGCATGCATGCAAGAAGGGTGGTCCAGTGATTACATTTCCTAAAGTGGAACTTCAAAGACTCACTTGAGACCTTTTGTAGCCAATGTTGTCATGCACTCCAACAGTCCCTGTTTACCAGGGGCCATTCCTGTTTTCTGGTATCTCTCTCTGGTCAATTGGTGTCCCTTTTCTATCCCCATTTGTGTTGTTTTGTTGTCATCTGATTAAAATTCTGTGAGAGTTTGCTAGCATTGTCTGACTTCAGGATTCAGCTCCTTTTCTAGGCTCAAACTGAGAGTTTGCTAGCATTGTCTTGTCTTCAGGATTCAGCTCCTTTTCTAGGCTCACCCAAATTAAACCTCTGAGAGGTGAGTGGGTGCCTCTTATCTTTCTGGCACATGTATGCTTGCACTTGTATGCTTGCTCTTGATCACTAAGGCCCGATGCAGTGCACAACCCTCTGTTTCACACCCTGAAGCTGCTGAGATATATCCTGTACTTCTGATAACTGATAATAAGACACGTATGTAAAATCTGTCCAGAACAGCCTCTTATGTAGTAATGGAATGCAGCATACAATAAGCAAAGAAGAGTTTCAGCAATATATAATGCTTCTGTGTGTGTTCATGTGAATCCAGCAGCGACCCTTGGTTTGAGACTGGGGTGTTAAAAGGTTCTCCCTGTTACAATGTCATGCTCCTATGAAATGTTGGGGACTGGGTGTAGCTGCCTTCTGATTTCCCTACTCAATTGAATTCCGCACTCCATTGTGAATTGGTGCTGGGGGGGGCAACAATGGGAGGGCTTCTAGTGTCCTGGCCCCACTGGTGGACCTCCTGGTATTTTTGGCCACTGTGTGACAGAGTGTTGGATGGGCCATTGGCCTGATCCAACATTGGCTTCTCTTATGTTCTTATGGACTAAAGGGTATCCTCTGATCTAAAACCACGAGACACTCTCCAATTCCCCACAAGCAGCTGTGCCACCATTGCTCTTCCATTTCCTCCGGTTGTTTTGGTCAATTTCACACTATTCACTGTGTAGCCGCATTTTGACCTGCATCTCCCCCTGATTTCCCCCGTGTATTCTAGATCCTGTTTTTTGAGGATCAAGAAGATGAGGAGGAAATCGGGGGGGAGATGCGGGTCAAAATATGGCCGCACAGCGAATAGTGTGAAATTGACCAATACAACCGGGGGAAACGGAAGAGCAACGGCGGCACAGCTGCTTGTGGGGAATCGGTTTTGGTCTTCATCCTTTACTGATCCTGGCAGTTATACTAGCCAAGAAACTCATAGGCATATGTAATATTTTAAAATAATTTATGCAGGCTTTTCACCAATTCAGAATGTGTTCTCCGACTAGGAACCTGCTAATTATTTTGACCTCTGACCAATGTTCCCTCTAAGCTGTGGAGTCTTGTGAGCAAAAATTCTACTTTGTGAGCTACTGGCATTAAAGTGGTGAGCAAGCAATTTGGCTACTACATAAATTACTTTGCTCTGGAGCCATCCTTCCTGAGCTAAGACAAAAATCTGTGAGCTGGAGGCTAAAAAAATGTGAGCTAGCTCACACTCACTCAGCTTAGAGGGAATACTGCCTCTGACCCATATGGAAATGCCCCTTTTTCTTGTTCCATTCCCTACTCACATAGGCTGGGTGTTTTGTATCTGGACTGGAAATTCCATTGCAGTTGGATTGATTTACTTCATTTATAGTTTGTCTTTCTTGTTAAGAAAATGTTCACCATTGGTATCTTGTGCAGCAAAGAACTCACAGATGCTCTGGAATGGAGCTGCCTGGAGCAGACTGTGAGGGCAGTTTGGGACTTTAAAATATGGGGAAGAATAGGTGCAAAAAGTAAAAAAGCAAGGTAGAGGGGACAAGAACCACAGTGCTCACAGTGTAATTTCTAAAATATTATTAATAGAAGATGCAGATACTTGTTCACGTTTTTCTGACAATAGTGAGGACTACAAGCTTGGCCATATAATGAAGGCTCAAGTTGCTATGGCTCCACTTAAGCTGCCATGCTGTGAGTTAAAGGCTACTTCCGGAATCCCTTAATACACACAGATTCCCTCTACATTTTAGAGTCTAAAGCACAAATATAAATTAAGACCTGCAAGGTTCTTCCACCCACAGCTTAAAAAACAACCACCGAATCATTTAATGACTTCTTTCCTTTAATGCAAACATTGATCCCAACTTCCTGCGAAGTGGGATGTGTCTTCTTGAGAAGCGAGGCTGTTTGTTATTTTTGGCTAGAGAATGGGGTGTTGTTGAAGAGTGAGGAAAAATCCGTTTGGCTTGAGCACAAAAATATCTGTGAAATCCTTTTCCCTCCCTCCCTGTTTAGTATGCGAAACGTTTCTGTAGGAGAGCCTCAGACAGCATTTCTGCTTCTTGGCTGGCTAGGAGATTACCAAAGTCCTCCTCTAGCTAGTACCGGACAGTGGATTGCATCGACTCTAACCTTCTGTTTAAACTTGGGCTTTTCAGCAACTGCGTCATGGCGACTGGACCAGTAGATGTCCTAGAGCCTCTCGAGGGTGAAGAAACAGGTGAGCAGTTTTCAAGGGAGTAAATGTGTTATAACTGTGAGATGGCTGTTTTGAAGATATTCTAGTCTAAAAGTAGGCAGTTGGAATGGAGGTCCAATCTGGCCTTACCCATACAGTGTGTAGCCATTAATCTAAGGGAGCCTACTTTCCTCAGTTACTTATTTCAGCCACTTTCACATAAGCTAAGAGTTCCAACCCTCTCCTCCTTCAGAGAGACCAGCAACAGTCTCTTGTGGTCTCTCCTCAGGCCCCTCAGTTGCTCACTTCTGTATGTCTTTTCTTTTTCTCGGCTTGGCGTCTTGCTAGGTCTTTATTAGCTCTGACAGAGATTTTGGTGCTGTTTAGGCTGGGGAGGAAGTGGCTCATGAGGGAGCACCATAGGGCAGGGCCCCTGCTCAGTTCCAAACTTGGCCCTTGTTAAAAATTAGTTGCCAGGCACGGTACAGGCCCTCAGACCCATAGCCAGATGTTTTGTGATGAGAGGGCTAAGGTACAGAAGGCGAGTGTGCCTGAATCAACAAAATAGCAACAAAATAGAGACAGTTTGGTATGTTTAAAGTTAGTTCATTAAAGTTAGTTAATTACATTGAAAATGGATAAAATAAAGTTTAATTTTGTAATGTTTGAAAACGAGAGCCTTATTTATTTATTTATTTATTTATTTATTTATACTTACTAGGCCACCCTTCCCTGGAGTGGGCTTGTCAGTTATTGCAGGGCTTTGTATTCATTGGCCAGAACTCTGGAAGGTTCTTAGGGAGCCATTGGCTCACCCACTTCTCTAGAGGCCCTGTCTGTGCTACAAATATATCGAGTTCAGACCAGCAGAACTATCCTGGCTTATCCCAAAGAATCCTAGTAATTGTAGCATGGTGAGAAAGTCTGTAGTGTGGATATTCCCATTGTCTTCCTTCATTTAATTGATTTCCTTCATTTGTACACTGCTTTTCATCCCATTGGGGACCCAAAACTGCTAAAATCGTTCACTTCTCCTCCATTTTATCATTAAAACAACCCTGCAAAGTAGGTTAGACTGAGTATGTGTGTCCTAAGGTCACCCAGCAAGCTTCCATGGAAGAGTGGGGAATTTGAACCTGGTTCTCCCAGATCCTAGCCTAGCCACTATACCACACAGGCTGTACCACTACAGAAACAGAGAGCTTTCTCATCAAAACGTTACCTCAGCCATATTAGCCTCTCTTATCTCTTCCATCAGCACCTGAAACCCATTTGGTCAATCCTTGGTCAGTCCCAGCTCCCTGGTGAGCAAAAATGCAACTGCAAACATGCATTTCTTTCACTCAAATGTTATGATTTTGAGTTCCATGTAACGCAAAAACATGCGTATTCATGAACAATCCAGTGGAAAAGCATCACTTTCTCTGTTTTCTGTTTCTCGTCTGGGACCCATAGTGCAACCATAATGCAGCCACTGTCTGCATTAAAATGCGTGACTGAAGTCATGTTGAGCACCTTGGTTGTGACTGACATCCCCCTCCCACAGAGCAGAGAAAGGCTGAGTCGCACTCTGGAGTCATTGTTCTTTTCTCAAAGTGGTCACTGTCTGCCCTGCTTTGCAGTGGACGGTGGTGCCGTCCTGCCCCGCCACACGTGCTGGCATGGTAGAGCGAGAGCATGGGTGACAGAATAATTGGGGAGGGCACAAGAGACAAATGCCCACTGAAATGCTGCTTTGTTAACAAAGTTCTCCAGTTGTGGGTCTCTATTATGTTGGCTGCCTCCCTGTTCAGCCTGCACGTTGAGCAAAGAATAGAATCTGTGTCGAACCAGGCTCTGCTAACCTCAGGACTTCTTTGTATCCCAGATGTGTGCATCACAGCAGGGGTAGATGCTTCATCCTGTGAGACAATGCACTTATAGCATCTGTTTCTTTGCAGATATGCAAGTTGAACATGGGGAGGGGGAGTAGGCCAGCATCCAGAATAAGTTCATCCTTCATTGTTCACACGGGAGCCAGTGTGGTGTAGTGGTTTGAGTGTCAGACAAGGATTTGGGAGACTCAGTGACCAATCCCCATTTCTGCTCTGGAAGCTCACTGGGTGACCTTGGGCCAATCACACATAGTCCTCTTGACCTACCTTACAGGGTTGTTGTGAGGATAAAATGGAGAAGGGGAGAATGATGTGAGCTACTTTGAGTCACCATTGGGGAGAAAGGTGAGGTATAAATGCAGTAAATAATAAGTAAATAAATACTTTTTCAAGGGATACCAGTTCCCATGGAAAGCTAGCGGCAAACCCTCTGGTCTTGCCAGCACATCCTCTGGTCTTGCAAAATCATCTGCCTCTGCTGGCTGTCTCGTAAGTACTAGCCTTTTAAGGACCCGTGCGCTTGTTTAAAGAAATGTCGGTGACTATAAAGGGTCCTTAATACAAGACTCAAGCAAAATGACTGTATTTTTCATATAGCTAAAGTGGTACTTTGCAGCTGTTCTGCAACAGTGCAGTCCGAACAACACTTTCCTGGGAGTAAACCCCATTGAATAGACCTGAGTAGACCTGCTTAGGATTGTTCCCTAAAGTGTGCAACTTCATCTTAATACAGGCCTCTCAGCCATTTTCTGACGGCAACCTACAATGCCAGACAGTGGTGGTTCACACTGGTGTTGATAAACTCCTTTGGCAAAGTACTTTCCCTCCCCTTCCTCTCACAGGAAAGAAAAAATCCAAGTTTCAGACTTTCAAGAACTTCTTTGCCAAGAAGAAGAAGAAGAAAGAGCCTTCCTCTCCGGGGGCCGAGAGCACGCTGAAGCCGAGCCAGTCGAGTAGCGACATCAGCACCCCTCACCTGGACTCCAGCATGCTGCATTTACCGGCGGAGCCAGGGTAAAGTATACATCTTGTACCAACAGGTTAAAAGGCAGGAATTGTCCCATAGCAACATATTTCATTCAAGTGGATGCAAAAACAAATCCCACTGCCGTGGCTGGAATGTCAGGAATTTCCCCTTTTCCTATTTGCAGCGTGCCTCCCTGACACCAAGCCCTGTGTCAAAACCCTCTGAGGTTGTTTCAGCTCACAGAAGTGCTGAGTGACAGGCTTTCATTGTCTGCTGTTTAGAATCCTTCCAGACATGACTAATTAGCACACGGTTTTTCTTTTTTCTTCGACAAGCAATGAAAATATGACTCCTGTAACGCCCTGAGCAGCTACCACAGTCTGCCTGTGAGAGTCAACTCAGACACCCCTCCCCCACACGAGTAGAAGCTGGCAGAACTCTGCCGCAAATAAATAAAAAGTTTTCCTAGTTCAAATGTTGTACTTGCCGTTAGACTGACGAGTGGTGCAGATGTGCACAGTGTTGCCTTTGTTTGCATAATATTTTTACAAACTGCAATGTGGTAGCCTCTTGGTTTCCCCGTTATATGCGAGATGAAGTTTAGGGACTATTTCTAAAAAGTGTAGTAGAGTCAGTGCGGTGCGGCAGTTACAGTGCTGAACAGGGGCTCAGTCCCCCAAACGAAACAAAAATCTAGTGGCACCTTGAAGACTTAGCAATGTCTGTTTCAATAGGAGCTTTCATGGGTCAGAGGCCACTTCATCCCCTAGATACATGGTGGGAAACTGTATTGGAGAATGCTTTGGTGCCACTGGATTTTTGTTTTATTTTGGACAACAGATAACACACAGCTACTCACATCTGCACCCCTTCGCAAATCCCCACTCAGAAGGGGAAAATCATAAGCTGTTGGAAGCACAATGCAAAAATGTAAATGGCAGCAAGGTAGCAGTGAGAAAGTCAGAGAAGTACATTGGCTAGATTCTTGGTTTTAGGTAGGAGAGACATCGATTCAAATTTAATTATTTACTTCCTTGAAACCCTGCCTTTCTCCCCATTGGGGACCCAAAAGCAGCCTAGATAGTTCTCCTCTTCTCCATTTTATCCTCACAACAACACTGTGTGGAAAGTTAGGCTGAGAGTATGTGACTGACCCAAGGTCACCCATCAAGCTTCTGTGGCAGAGTGGGGTTTTGAACTGAGGTCAGTGGGCTTAGAAGGGTGTAACTCTGCTTAGGAAGGCACTGAGAGTGCAGCACCACGGAAGTGGGGTGCAAACCTGCCCCTGATCATGCTTGTGTCTGGTTCAGAGGCTCTGTTTTTCTCTCTAAACTGGGTCTCTGACTGAATGGGAGCCCTGGAATCGAGCCAATTCCCTTATCCACTTAGCCTCATGGCTCTGCCTTGCATTGGGAAAAGGCCTTGTTTGAATACAGCACATCTTTTACATTGTTCATGATGAAATACACATATGTAATGTTGTCTCCAGTTTTAGACTGTAAGCTGCTCAGGGTGGGGAACCTGACTTCTTCTCCTCCACACAGCGGGTGCTGCAGGAATAGCAAATATGTAATAATTACTTATTAGGCCACTGGGTAGCAGCTTCTCTGTATGTCATGCTCCAAGCAGTTTCCCTTATTTCTTTAGAGTAAGACACAATCGGACTCCCTGCAAATACCATAATTAACTGAGGCCATAAACATGATCACAGCAATCCTTTTCATCCAGTGTTTTTTCCTAGCATGATGGTTACAGGCATGAGCTAAGAGCCAGGTAGTGGCTGGTTATCATGGAATCATAGAATCAGAGTTGGAATGGACCTCCAGGGTCATCTAGTCCAACCCCCTGCACAGTGCAGGAAATTCACAAATACCTCTACACCCGCAGTGATAGCTGTTCCATGCCCAGAAGATGACAAAAAACCTCCAGGATAGCTTCCTGACCCCAAAGTGACAATCAACATTTCCCTAGGCGCATAAAAAAGGGCCACAAGAATTAAGCACTGAGGCAACCCTTCCTGCCCTCCCACTCATGATCTGCCTAAGTTCACAGAATCCTCATTGCTGTCAGATGGCCATCTAGCCTCTGTTTGAAAACCTCCTAAGAAGGAGAGCCCACCACTTCCTGAGGAAGCCTGTTCCACTGAGGAACTGCTCTAACTGTCAGGAAGTTCTTCCTAATGTTTAGCCAAAAAGTCTTCTGATTTAATTTCAACCTGTTGGTTCTGATCCAACCTTCTGGGGCAACAGAAGACAACTCTGTACCATCCTCTTGAAGTACTTGAAGATGGTTATCATATCACCTCTCAGTCGTCTCCTCTCCAGGCTAAACATACCCAGCTCCTTCAACCTTTCCTCATAGGACTTGGTCTCCAGACCCCTCACCATCTTCGTTGTTCTCTGGACACGTTCCAGCTTGTCTATATCCTTCTTAAATTGTGGTGCCCAAAACTGGACACAGTACTCTAGGTGAGGTCTAACCAGAGCAGAGGAAAGCCCAAAATCACATTTGCCTTTTTAACAACCGCAGCACACTGCTGACTCATGTTCAGTGTATGGTCTACTAAGACCCCTAGATCCTTTTTGCACATACTACTGGCAAGACAAGTCTCCCCCAACCTATAATTATGCATTTGATTTTTCCTACCTAACTGCAGAACTTTACATTTATCCCCATTGAAGTTCATTTTATTTGTTTTAGCCCAGTTTTCCAGCCTGTCAAGATCATCCTGTATCCTGACTCTGTCTTTTACTGTATTTGCTACCCCTGCCAATTTAGTATCATCTGCAAATTTAATAAGCATTCCCTCTATCCCTTCATCCAAATCATTGATAATCTCATTTCTACTTAGCTATCAACTCACTAGGTATGTAAGCAGCAATTTCTTACACATGCACGTGCTCGCGCGCGCGCGCACACACACACACACACAGAGTCTTTCATCCATAATATGCAGTTAAGACTGGCCTACATGGCTCTTATAGGGGTTTACGTATACTTGGAGAAAGCCCTACATAAATAGTTTCTTGTAAGTATTGGGGGGGTTGGGAAGGGCATTTCATCTGATGATGGACCAAGTTTTCCTTTCAGATCCAAAGGAATCATGGGAAATAAAGCCTTATCACACGACAGTGTTTTCATTTTTGAATCGCCACCAGAAACAGCTGGCAAAACATCCTCACAGGAGAACCTTCCTGGGAAAGTCAAAGCTTTGCAGGTATGAGGGCCTTCAAGTCCTTCACAATGAAGCACTTGGCACAAGTTTTACAAAAATTGTCCTTATGTCTGTCCATGCATCTGTGTGCCCCTGGTCATTGGATAATTAATACTGCACTTCTAGACAATCCGTCCACTGCAACAAAGTGCTTCCCCATGAAAGGCTCCCGGTATTTGTGTGTGTGGAAATTGGGCTCAGGTTCTCCTAGTGTAATTTCGCTTCCTTTTAGACCCTGAATCCTGGTCCCTGTTGGCTCAGGGCTCGTGGACGTGTTCTACTCCTTACTGTCAAGGCTGCAAAGGATCATGAGTGCATTTGCATGCTCAGGCTTTGATTCTGGCCAGTTTTTGGAGGGAGAGAATTGGAATCATTTTGTCACACCCCCTTCTGATATTTTTCTGCATGTCTAGGCAGACCTCTAGTTTAGCTGGCTTTCAAAGGGTACCGTCATGGAGGCTAAGTCAGTCAATGACTAGTAGGTGCAGTCGCTAAATGAAACCTCGATATTCTGAATATCCAGCAACCTTCTGAAGAGCAAGTGTAAAAGGTTGGTTAAAGAAACAGATAAATGTAAGTAAATAAATAGGGATGGCGGGCATTTTTGTTGGCTGCACAAACAAGGAGCGCTTTGAACATAAGGTTTCAATACCATGAAAGTGCAAAAGAGATGCCATGGAGCTTTCAGTATTCAAGAGTTTGGGATAATTGAGGCTTAGATAAATCGGGTGCTGATTTAATCCAGGATAGTCCTGATGAGATCATTTTGGGTGCAGCAAAAGTCAGGATGGTCCATTTCCATTGTGGCCCAATGGCATCCTTGGTGCTACCTTTGAAAGAGAATTGCGTATCTGAAATTCGACACTAAACACAACCATTCCAACTTTCACCCATCAGACTGTGCATGTTTCCGGTCATGTGAATGCCTTCCAAGAGTTATTGAAAAGATGCAGTGAGCCCATGGTAGATATGTGGGGACCTTCCTTTGCTTTATTTTCAGAAGGTACATAGTGCAGCTACGGTAATCAGGTCTGACACTGGTCACCATCTAATGAAAGACTCCTATGAAGCTTAGACACGTTGTCTTGAGTTCCACAGAAGGCAAACAGGGTATGAGCGTAACTTTTGATGTGTGCCTGAGGTCCAGGACAAATAGCTTATTTCCACTCAGAAGGTCTCTGGGCTCTACACTGGCAGGCTAGCCAAGCTTTTGTAGGAACGGCTTTAACATTGCATAGTATGAGATAGTTGTTCCATTTGGCATGTGTTTTGAGCACTGTACTGATAGCGATACTGGGAGTTCTTTCAACCAGGCATGGAAGAAGACCACGCACTTCCCCCAGCTGTTGCCCTATGTCATTACTAAATCCCAAGTGGGTAAACAAAGTCCCTCTCTGCTCGAGGCCTTGAGACATGTTTATTGTCAAACCCGGTTGGGTCTGTTAGCAAGACTGTGGCAACCAAGAGAAGAGGTGGGACCTCTTTATTTTCTAGAGGGCCCGGCCCTCTAACCTATGCAGTGGTGATTCTCCTATGTGGAACTGCACAGAACTCTTCAGAGGCCTGTCTGCATTTTGTGAACATAATCATAGAGCTGGAAGGGCCATTCAGGCCATCTAGTCCAACCCTCAGCTCAATGCAGGATGAGCCTAAAGCATTCCAAACAAGTGTTTGTCCAGCCGCTGCTTTAAGACTGCCAATGAGGGAGAGTTCACCACCTCTCTAGGCAGCCAATTCCATTGCTGAGCTACTCTTGCTACCTTTAAAAAACAATGCCTTAAACCAGTCCATTTCAACTCATTATTATCTAATCAGCAGGCAATGGCTCTCCTAGCAGAAATGGGTCTTTCCCAACACATACATGAAATTCTTTAGCTAGAGATGCCAGAGATAGGAGCTGGGACTTCTGTATATGGCAAGAGAATTGTTGTAGCGCTCATAATAAGTTAACCAATGTAAAAAAAAAAAAATTGGCTGGCACCCTTCCTTCTTTCTTCCCCCCTCTGTGTTCTGTGTTCCCTCTCCTCCTGCCCAGAAAAAGGCGGCTGGTAGTCCAGAATTGGGATAGATAATATTATAGGGGAAATCGCCATTGGGATTCTTTTATCTACACTGAAATTTTTATAAAGTTATATATGAATTTTAATTTTTTGTACTCTATGACGTTATGTCCCGTACATTGCCCAGAGCCCGGCGTAAGCCGGAATGGGGAAATTAATAAATCAAATAATTTATTTATTTTATTTCATTTCATTTGTACCCCGCCCTCCCCGCATGCGGGCTCAGGGCGGCTTACACAGGCACAAAAGTGCACATAATGATTATAATTATTTATTCTTTATACGTTTATCCTGGTCTTATACCTGGCTTCCATTAGTTTCCCTCTCAGATTGCACTGTGATAGCATCCAGCGTTCATAAACCACTCACTGGGCCTGTAAACATCTTGGCTATACATTCTTATCCTTCCTGTCATTATCAGGCAAGGACACTACACTCTGCCAGGCTCCTTCCTTCCTTCTGCCCTCCATCTTCCCTTGACCAGCGTCCTTATCATGTTCTTGACAGCAGCTGTACTCAGCTGGCTTAAAAACCCAAGGATAGAGGTTCAGAGGGTTGTGAGCGATGCAAACTACTCTCAGCAAAACCACAAAGGCCGTGAACTCATCTGTGTTGTTGCTGCCGAGCAAGAGACTTATTAGGCCCAGTTTAAATTCCAAGTGGTTGTTTGCAATACTCTTTCCAAGTGAGGAGGAAAGATGGGAGAGCTCTGTTGGAAAAAAATAGGACTGGTTCCTGTAGCATGTTGCAGGCATGCTGATTACAGCAATTGTCATAGATAATCCACACATTAATCGCTTGGTCACACTAGGGTGGGACACAGACAGAATCCCAAAACCTGTCTTTACACACATACGCATAATTTAGAATAGATTGGAAGTTGTATCATTTCCTTGCTGGATATGTTTCAATAATGTTTCTGAAAGAGGTGTTTTACAGCGAGCGCTGGCTCATTTCTGCCTCTTTTTGTTCTGTTTAATGAATCCAAACAGATGCAGATTTGTTTAATCAGTGTAAACACCACTGGTTGCGAAGACCGCAGGTGGTGGTCCAAGAGCTTGAGAGAGGCCACACAGCAGATCCTGCTTATCTGCCAGGAATTCTTGGATGAGTTAAAGGTCAAAGAGCAAGAGGTTGCCTGCTCCCCAAACCTTGTAGCAGAGCAGTGAATTTGCAAGAATGGCATGGAAACTGAAGCCATGAAGGCCATTTCCCCCATGAGTAGTCCCCCCCCACACTCTCAAGTCCATGTGTTTTAATTCGCTCCCTTCCACCCAACAGCTTCAGTTCCAGCAGACCCTACAGCTCAGGTCACCACCTCTGGTTATTGCTAGTAAGAAAACAGAAGACGCAGGTGCCATTTCAGAAGATGATGGCTTACCCAGAAGCCCTCCAGAAATCTCCATTCTCCATGACGTTCTGACTTCTTCCACTAGTAAGGTAAGCATGTTACAGTTTCCTTGAGAGAGGGGACAGTAAGGCAGCCCTATTTGATTTCTAGGCTTGTGAGGCAGTCACGAACATTGGACTTCAGTTTACCATGCTTGACTGTATAGTTAGCCCACCCACGGTCTGCGTTGCAGGGTTCAATGGTTTTGGCTAAAATTCATAAAATTTAAGTACAAGTTATGCAGGGCACAGAAGCCCTTCTGACCATTGGAAATCTTAACCAGCACTCCTCTGGCTTCTGAGAGTTCATCTGGCACTGCCTGCATGCTTTCAAGCATATCTTAGCATACATAATATATAGAAGTTTTCTTTGTTTTTGTTTTTACAAAATGAAAGCTGGGGATATTTGAAGAAGATGCCATCAGCAGCCTGTACCACATTCTGGGCTTCTCTGGAATTGCAACAGCCACACAGCCCTGACAGTAGCTGACTCTATCAGATCTACAGGCCATTGCACATTGTGGGGACTTTTGAGGATTTCTGTTGCATTGTACATATGTGTGTGTGTGTGTGTATACACACACACACAAAGGCCTATTTAAGATCTACCGCTGTGCTATAGTTGTTGTTTACATGCGTTTGGGATCCCCTAACGCAACACCATACCTGCAGCTAGTAATCAAGGGAGTCAGTCATTTTGACACACCACACTAAGGTTGTGGGAGAAGTCTCAGTGACAGATCTACAAGTTTAACACTTGCATTTACTGCTACAAATCAATGTTGTCACCTCTGTGAGTGTGTGCGTAGCCAAGGGAACTGTTGTGTGGACCTCTCCTGCTTTCCCCTTGTACTTTTCTCATGACTTCCCTAATATCTGCTACCCTGGAGTACCGTCTGCTGTGCTTCCCTTGACTTACCCTTCTCCCTTATTTTATCCCGCAGTCCTCCAACCCTGTTCAGCGACATAGCTCTTTGAGTTTAGGTGGCACAGACAGTGACGATGACCAGGTAAATGGCCACTTTTCCTGCTATCAAAATGAATGCAAGAAGCTTGACATACTGAAAACTGGAATCCTCTGTTACCTGGGAGTAAAATGGGACTTATAGGTGAACATGCGTAGAATTGCACTGCAAGTCAAACCTTTAGCTATATTGGGGCTGGCAGCAGCTCCCCAGGACCCAAGGCTGAACTGGGGAAGCTTCTTCGTATGAAAACCATGTGCTCTGTCACCACAGGTCTTTACTAAGGCAAGAAGTCGTGGCATTCTTTTCCTGTGTGGAAAAGGGCACCATCATAAAACAGCTTGAGGTCAAAATGCCTGCAGAGAAATGTGTCTCAAGTCATACTGAGCAAGGAGAAGAAATGTAAACATTAAATTAAATTAAAAACTGTTCAGGAATGAAAGTTTTGAGTAGACCCGATCCATACATACGGATGCTTTTGCTAATAAAACTTATTGCAAATGCAATTTAACAACTAAAAAACCCTCTACCTTTCAGCTCGCTGATTATGTGGCTCCTTTTATGCTGCTGTTCTTAAAAAGTATGCCTGTGCTGTTATTGTCCTGGTTTTATGGCTGTTTTTAAGTGTGCGGTTTTGATGTGTGCGTGGTCCCGCAGCCTCAGTTTTCCTCGGGGCTGTGCAACTAAAGTGGGGGAGGAGGGTCCCAGGCGGTTTAGGGCTTTAAAGGTAAGAACCAACATTTTGCTTGTTTCTTGGGATCAAATGGGTTGCCAGTGAAGATCTGTTAAACATGAGCAAAACAAGATCATACTTGTCTCCCTCCCCCAATTGATATCCTGGCCGCAACCTTTAGAACCAGTTTCCAAACACTCTTCATAGGAAGCTTCAGGTATAACTCACTGCAGTAATAATCTAACTTAGGCCTGATTCACACATGCTAGATGGCCAAGATGCATGGCTTTGGGCAACTGGTGGATGGTCATGTTTTAAAATGCTCCCCTGTGTGGTAAAACTTCCTGCAAGCAGAAAATCAGCACAGCAGGCAAAGAGAGTGAGAGGGAACCCTTTCTGTTTACTATGCTAATTTTTTGTTTGTATGGAGTTTCTTTTAAGAAAGAAGGAACATTCGGATCCAAATGGCACAGCTTATTCTGTGACCTTATTTTCTTGCATGTCTGAACCTAGCCTTAGATGTTAAATCAAAGCATGGGTAACAGTGTCAAGATCAGGTTTTCTCTGGAAGGGCACAGCTGGTACACCAGCCAAAGTTAAACCTGTTAAGAGAAAATCCAAAGGGTCATTTGCCCGTAATGTTACGTTTGTGTATGAATATTGTGATATCAAAACCAGTCTATAGCGCTTAGATTGAATACACCAATTCCCCTATGTCAGGAAAGCGAAAAGTAAAGTAACTTGCCCGCCTGCATTTTCCAGGTACCCTCGGAAGCTTCCTCCAGGCCTGGTAGCCCACTGTCTTCCAGCATCCTTGTGAGCCCCATCTCACCAACATGTCACTCGCTTTCTGTCGATTTCAACACCCCAGCCACTCCGCTGGGCTGCCTGGATACCTCGGCTGCCAGGCACAAGATCGCACTTAATCCGCGGAAGCAGAAAGCCTTTAACAACAAAACCCAGGCTTTGGCTGTAAGTGTCTTCTGAAGGACGGCGGTTCTCCCTTATGACCTTCCCCATTCATGTAAGACTCCGGTCTAGCAGTGTTCTGCCTCAGGCATAAGGTCAGGTCTGTGCATGTAGTGCAATGAGCTGGTCAGTGCTGAGAAGGAAGACAGAACTGCAGACTGCAGCAGGGTGATGGGGACATGGCTCCCACACGGGACCATTCCAAAACCTCCCTGCAAGTAGAAGATTATCAGGAGTGGAATAAGCTACTTTTCTGCTTGTTTTCTACTTGGAGGGTTTAAAAAAAAAAATCCCGCCCACCCAGCATTTTGAACTGGTAGAATCCAACTCACGGTTCTCCTACCTTGTTTTGCCTGTTTATATCAAGCTTTCACCTAGTGTCCATAAATATCTTTCAGCTATGGTGTCTTCTCCTTGGGGTGCTCTCTCATAGGAAGTCCACAGGGCAAATTCCTTGCTGAATGTTAACATGTGAGCAAAGGTGTTTGGATTCTGCCAGGCCTTTGGAGGAGTGGGTAACTGTTGGTTTTTGCACTGGTTAGTTTTATGCAGCTGTTTCTGTGCCTGTATTTCCAATTTTAAGCCAAGTACAGTCAAAAGAGGGGGCAAAAGTGAGAGGGATTTTAAATAATTATCAAGCTTGCACACACATACACTTCCTCTTTTCCTGTCACTCCATCAGCATCATTTTCTTTGGATGCTGCGAAGACTTCTTCAGAACATGATACTGCTGTGGGAAAGAAGGAAAGCACTTGGGGAGTCAATTTTAATTCTTAATTTAAGTATTAGCTTGCTTGTCTTTTTGAGGCTTTTATAGATTTCTGGTGAAATGAAATGGGAATGCAAGCCAAAAGCCTAAAAGGGACTTTCTTCCTAATTACACGAGTATTGACTTTGGGTTAGATGCAAATGACTGGGGTAAACCCTTTTGCAAACTGGAGGGCCACTTTCAGAAGCAAAGGGATCTCTTTGGATTCAATGCCACATCCAAGCCACTGTAATCCTGAATACGTCCTTCTGTATTGCAAGCAGCTGCTTGTACTTTGATTTTTGGTAGTAATCAGTTGATTAATTAATCTGTTTAAAAGCAGACAATTGATCAATTACAACTTCTTTCACTGGTTGGCCACTGTACTGTTGTTCCTTTATTTATAATCTTCAAAAATAGCCTGTAGTTTGCAAATTCGTCAAATAGTCTTCCTGTATCATGCCAGGTGGAAAAGCCAGAGAAGGAGCCAGGCCTGCTCCAAGCTGCAGAAAGCAAAGCAAGCAATCCAAAATTACTTGAAGAAACTGACCACCCAAAGGAGGATTCAGAAGGTAATAGCAGCAAGGTGTGGGGGGGTGTTTGTGTGTGAGAGGGAGATAATATAGGAGGGAGAGATCTGTGTGCATGTGTGTTGAAAGCTATAAAACATTTTCCTTTTTCTCCTCCTCCTTTTTCTGTGTAGGCTCATCAATCCAGAATACATCTCATTTAAATAAGATTTGGATTAACAATGCAGTGCCCAAGACAAGGACCTCCAATCCTTTGCGTTACTCTTGGAATTTTCTCCCTGGCCCAGGTGGCACTTGTATCTCAGAACCCGAGGACTGCAACATTGCAGAAACAGATTTCCAAAATGTCGTAGCGGTGTCCTCCCCTAATGCAGAGTCTTCTTTTGAAGAGATTGAACTAAAAATGGAGGAGGAAGAGGCAGAAATGACTCGGCATCATACTGATGAACTCAAGCAAAATCCACAAAGCCCCGGGAAAGAAGAGTTTGAGATTTCTGAACCTTTTCAGACAGAAACAGAAGCTGTTATGCTTTGTGATATGCTGGTCTCTGCTTCACATGGTAACAGCATACAAAAGGACTTGGATTCACCAGCAGAATGTATCCAAGTGCAGAGCCCAAAATATGTAGATCAAAAAACAAAAGGCTCTGGGACTGGCGGCAACACAACCCAATTTGACGGGGCACAGGAAAGACTTGCTGGTGGGCCCAGTTATGTTGCCCTTGGATCAGATTCTCAGTTGCAGATTTCAGAGTTTTCTTCATCTGCTTCCGAAACTCCCTCAGAAGCAGGGAAGTCCATTGTCCCAGAGCCTGAAAAGAGCCCAGCCATCAAAGACGACCCAGCAGATGTGGAACGTCAGCCATCTGAAGACCACATAAAACCAACGATATCCCCACAAAAAGAATCTGCCATGAAGGACAGCTCTTTAGATACCATAGAGGATAAGAAGCTGTATCTCCCAACAGAATTTTGCTGCTCTGTTGAGAACAATGACCTGGACAGTCAAGAGACAGGGCTCCTCGAAAAAGCACGTGACTCTACTGTGAAAGATGAAATAACCTCCGGATATGTTGAGGTCGCTTCTGATAGCACCCCTCCTAGTGAGGATGCCAGAGAAGATCAGTCAGGTAGTGTAAAAATAAAAGAAGAAAGCAGACCACCAAACGAGGTTGTCAAGACCCAGTTGAAGTCCAGTTCTACTAAACCAGTCAGGTTCACTATCGCGCCTGCCTGGCAAAGGTCTCTCTCTGGGGGCTCGAATCCCTTAGATGGTTCATGCACTAGAAGCTCTCCATCTTCACCCATAAAACCAGAGTTCTTTGAAGGCATACCAGATACAGCCACACCGGGATGTATGCCAAACAGCCCAGAAAGACTCAGTGGGGATAATGGAAATGCTGTGGCCATTGAGGAGCCACGGAGCCATGAGAGCCCATTTGGGATTAAGCTGAGAAGAACATCCTCATTGCTAAAATACCAAACGGAACAGCAACATCATGAGCCCCCAAAGCTAGGCCCATTAGCAGCATCTAGTATCTCCTCTGCCAAAGATGAGCCAAAGTCGCCCGAGCTTGGGAAGCCATCCCAAAATCTTACCAGCAGTGCTAAATCTTTGGTGACGAAATCCAACTTCCAGGAAGAGAAAAATAACAGCAAAGCTAAATCTGAAGAAGTGGCAACCAAGCAACAGATGAGCAAACTTCCAGGTATTGGTGAAAGAGGCTGGTTCATACGAGTTGCTTTTGTCTTCTTGTGTGCACATTGAAACCTGGGGGTTGGGGTGGCTCCAGGCATGTTATAACTGCTGCTAACAGTGAACTATTATTTCCTGCAACAAATATGTAACCTGTGGAAGTAACACATTTCCTGCATGCACATCTGAGAATCTTATATAGCCTTTTTGGTCATAGCTGTGTTGTAACATGTAGAATATTGGGATGGTTTTATGTTTCTCCATAAAGAATCTTGAGAACTGGCATTTGGAAAGAGCAATAGAGAATCCTAGATTTCTGCTCCCCTCCTCCTGCTTACAGAACTACAGTTCCCTGAACAGAGGGAATGACTGTTCAACCAACTGAAGTCTGTGGTGTTGAGATGGGGGCTGTGATGTAAACTGGTCACTCCATGTAACTCATTTTCTTGGTTGAGCCCCAAGAATGCCCTGTCAACCCTGCTGGCTTAATTTGCGGGTGGTGCTCCCTTGTGAAAGCAGGAGAGAATTAGGCAAGAGGTAGAATGGGAAGTTAAGATGCAGGAGGGTTGGGCAACTCAAGATAGCGAGGAGCCTGAGGTGGGAAATCAAAATGGCGTCTCCCATTGTGGTAAAAAACCGAACCATTGACAATTTCCTGTTTGTTAACTGTGCATTCCCTAACGGAGTCATAAATGTCATGGCTGACTCCAGGAATGGGAGGAAAAAGGACAGAGCTATGTGGAGAAAGGAGTAGGGCATGCCAATTTTAAATACAGTTTTCTGACTATCTCCCCCCACCCCCCCGCCATAGGGCTAATAGGAGCTTTGACTGGCATTTAGTTATGCTACAACTGACAAGGAGAAAAGAGTACAAGGAGAAAAGAGTTAACCCTCCCCCCCATACCCACCCTGTTGCTGCTACTTGGTGTGGTTGCTTAAACCCTCCAGGGCCCCTGCCACACGGCAGGGAAAACACCCGTCAAAGCGCGGCTAAATAGAGCCGCACCAAAATAGAGACGCGCGGGCGGGATCCCACGGATCCCGTGCACCGCGCGCCGTTGCACGATCAGATGCCGGGGAGGAAGAGTCGGGGGGGGAGGGGGAGGCTGCCGAACTGTGCATGCTCGAGCCCGGATTGAAGCGCTCTACACCGAAGAACCACCTAGGTAGGTGGTTCTTTTTAGTGCGGGTTTTCGGGCGGGAGGGACAGATCGGGGACGGGCAGGCAACGCTTCCCAGATGTTGCCGTGGGATCGAGCCCGTTTGCTCCGCCCCCGATCCGTCCCGCTCCCGGCCCAAAACCCCTAGTGTGAACAGGGCCCAGGCAGATCAGATCCTGGCTGAAACCCTTCCTTGATGTGCAGTTTGCCCCTAAGAGGAAGATCCAAGCCCTGATTATTATTTTTTTGGTTATCTCTTTCTCCTAGAGAGAATTCCACCAGTCCATTTAGAAACTCCGTCCTCAGAACCAGCTTGGATCTCCATGGCGAAACTCAAGCGGAGGGGCTTCCAGGGCCTCCCTCTTGCTAAAGGACTGAAAAAGGAAGAGAGAGCCTTAGCCCAAACTGAGCCAGAGGAGGAGAAGAATGCGGGTAGTTCAAAGCCTGAAAAAGTAAGGAGATGTATGAGGACCACCTGAGTGCTGCAGTGAGAGATCACGATCCTTGTTCCAATGATTGGATGATGTAAATTTGGATAATGGTTTTTTTAAAATGTCCCAAGGCTAATAATAACTTGTTTGTTTCTTTGTTGTTGGAGTACTTTCAATCTGCATGGCAGTTTGCAGAGTTCAGGCAAATAGGCCTGTGTCGTTTCAAGGTGCTTGCAAAACAAAATTTAACATGCAGGAAGCCGCAAAGGAGGTGGAGGCCAGGATAGACAGGAAGAAATTGCATTTGTAAGGGGAAGGGGATTAAGTGGTTGTGCAAAAAAGTGCAGGGAAAAGGTGGGTTCTGAGGAGAAATTTGAAGGATGTGGGAGATAGGGTTCTTCTGGAGGTGGCTGCAGTTCTAAGGTGGACTGCAATGGAGTTGTTTGAGTGATCAGGAGATCTTCAGGCAGCTGAGGGTGGTGAAGATGGAGAAGCAAAGGTCATGGGCAGGGATGTACTGGGGCACAAGATCAGAAAAGTGAGGGGGAGGGCAAGGCCCTGGAAGGTTTTGAAGGTAATGACAAGGTATATGTACTGGATCAAGGGATCATCCAGGAAACCAGTGTTGGGGTTTGTGGCAGAACGGGCCTACTCTGGCCTGCAGGCCTTATTCTGCCCTGCCCTCCAAGGCTTTTCTCAAGCCCTGGAGAGGCTTTTCTTTCTTTGTCCGGTAACACACCACTACTTGACCTTTGTATGGAATTGCCCAGTGGGAGGGTCAGGGCCCCCAGCTTCCCTTCCAAGTTCTGAGGCCTTGCCTCTCTGTCTCCTGCTGCCCAGCGTCTGGTCACCATGGGGACAGTTTACTGCCTTGGGTGCCCCTTTGGGAAGAGCTGCTTGCCAACTATCTGCCTTCCCCCGGTGCCCCTTTTAAAATAGTGTGCCTGAGACAGTGGAGGTGTGGTACAGAGAGCCACTACCAGCATCAAAGGTTATAAAGTATGTATTAAAAAGAAAATGTTTACAAGCATACTTTTAGCACAGCATCCAATTGAGCAAGGGATTCCAAAAGAAATGGAGAATGAAAATCTCGGTCCCGCTCTCTATACATGCCCTATCAGATGTTAGAAAATAGGACAGGCTCTGTAGCTTCACAGTTCTAGATCTCTACAGAATTCCCATTACCTTAACAATCTTCCTTCCAGTTCTCCAGGTGAGTACATTGTCAAAATGGCTGCCTTCTCAGAGGAGAGGCCTGGTTCCTCTCATGGACTTGGCAGTCAAGGAAAAGAGAGCTCCTTCCTCCTGCAAGGAGTTTTTATCAATGTTTCTCTACCCCCTGACCAGGTCATGCCAGGTCAGAGAAGCACTTCCTGCAGTCTCCATAATTTACCTTCCTGAAAACTTCTCTAGTATAAAGTCCTCCAAACGCCTGTTCCCTGCTTGGAGAAGGGGGAGAGCTTGCCCGACCCATTATCTCTCCTTCTAGGTTATTAGCATTTGTATGAAGGTGAGTTAATGTATGTCTGGGAGCAACTGAACTGTCCCCTCCCCCACCTGTTCTCTGCTCAGAAGGGGAAAAAAATTGTTAAAATGCAAAGTGGAGGTTTGGCCCATTTGGGGAAAATTGTGTGGATGGAAGTAAACCACATTTAATTTTGAATGAGATCTAGGGACATAAGTTTGTTTTTAAGTCTTTGTGGTTGTTTATTAATAATTATGTTTGGGAGCCAGTTGAGGAAAGCAAGAATGGCATTGACTTTTAGAGTGTTCAGAGTGCTTCACATAATAATCTTGCAATCCTTACAACAGCCTTGTAAAGGCAGGTTAGTATTATCCCCTGTTGCAGGTGAAAGGATGAGGCAAAGAGACTGTAGCAGAGTCTAAGGACACATTTTTTGGGGGGGCGCGCATGCGCAGAATTCTTAGCCTCTTGGTTTTGAGTCTCTGTGTACTTTTGTTACCACGTTTTGACATAGAAAGACACTGCCTGAACTACAATCCAGTTACGTTGTAAAAATGTACATGCTTTGGAATGTCACTGAGTGCTTTTTTTGGGCCAAAAGGCAGGACTTAAATCTTTTTATTAGGAATTGTTGGTGCAGTTTATGATTGAACAGTCTTGCAAGCCCTGTTCTCTCAAATCTCGGGGTTAGAAAAACCCAGTGTCCATCCCAAGTTTCTGCTCAGCAGTGCCAAAGCTTTTACTTACTCATGGGGGAATTCCAGACTGGGTAGTAACTATGGTCACCAAGCACCTGAAGGAGTATACCGTACTAGATGGATTTGTATTTACAGTACTCTGTGTTTGCATTGCTGTTCAGAGGCAATGGCATGATTAACTACACCTTCGCAATAGGGATGGTGTGCTATCTACTGCCCTTCCCCATTACTGCTCTTTGAAAAGAAAGACTGAACAGGTGTGTTTCAGAAGACAGCCGTGGTGGTCTGCAGTACAGCAAGTAGAATAGAGTCCAGTAGCACTTTAGAGACCCACAAGATTTTGGGGGTATAATCTGTCAAGAGTCAAAACTCTCTTTGTCAGATACTGATGAACCTGACAAAGGGAGCTTTGAATCTTGAAAGCTCACACCCTAAAAATTTCACTGGTCTTTAAGGTGCTGTTGGATTTGAATCTACTGACTGGCATTCAAAATATAAGGAAGTTTAATAAACAGATATGAGTACATATGGTCTGTTCAAGCATCAGGCTGAGCAAAGATACAAAGAAAAGGTGAAAACACATGTTCCTCTCACCCTGAACTCTATACTTCATCCTAAACAAAGTTTAATTAGGCTAGTAAATCTTGAAGTTGCAGCATTCAAAACTCCTTCTCAGAGTTGAGATTTCTTCCATTGTCCCTTAACATGTGGACTAGATAGAATCCCTAGATAAAGGTTTAGTCCTTTCTGGCGAATCCCTAAATAAAGGTTTAGTCCTTTCTGGCTTGTGCCCACCAAGGAAGATGAATGATGAGAAGAGATCTTCCTTCTCATGTTCTAAGACTCCTGCAAGAGTCCATTCCTCTCTCTGGCGTCATTCTGGTCATCCCGCCTCTAGAGGAAGAGATTACTATCTAGCCTTTTGGCTGTTCCAGTTTCTTTTGCCTTTTGGCATGACATTCCAACAAGGTATTAGGTAAACCCTTTGTTCTTACTACAGCCAGAGCTATTTGCATCACTAAGAGCTGGAATGTTCTGAGATAACTAATCTCCTGTAGTTTTCCCCTTTGTCAGCCTTTTACCAACATTAGGGAACATGTAGAGTATGGCCCCAATTAATAAAATATTGAGGTGGTTTCTAGGGTGGAGGGTATTTCACCACACAGCTTCATTTGCTGTTAAGAACCCAAACATCATTCTTGATTGCGTGTGCATCTTGATTGCATTATTGCCTCAACAAAGAAGGATGAAAAACCCAACACTCTGGCTGACAGCCATTCGTGCAATAGCATCATATCTTATCTCTGTCTTGATACAGAAGATTTGTAGCAGTCAGTTATGAAAGAAGAGAAAAGGCTATTGTGTCTTACACTTGACTAATGATTTAAAACGGGGAAAAGAAAGTACTTGTTGACATAATACATAATTAACTTGCTGGACTGACTGTCACCTGATGCAGTAATGGCTTGGACGGCTCTATAAGGGGATGAGGGATGTTCATGGAGGAGAGGTCCATTAATGGCTATTAGCCATGGTGATTGAATTTCATCTGGGGGCAAGAGCAGGGGGAAGCTTTGGAATCCATAACCTGCTTGTAAGCCATGCAGTAGGTCTGGTTGGCCACTGTAGGAAGCAAGATTCTGGATCAGATAGATCCAGCGGGATTCTTCTTATTCCCTTAGGTCCTTATGCAATGTATAAATTAGTTTTCTTTTTGCTTTCCAGGAACTGGACACTCCTTGTGAGAATTTACTGAAAAAGAGCAGCACTCCTCCAGTGTGTGCCCGTGAGAATAAAGTACAGATGAAGATGCCCACATCCTCTCCAACTGGTATTACAAAGCGAGAGGGAAGGGGAGGGAGTGTTACCTTTTTTGCAAGCTCAACTAATATTCTGGGGTATTTAGCTTTTCATATTGTATCCTGCTTGGTCAAAAATCAAGGGGCTATGTTGGTCCATTAGAACAAAATTCACAGGGTCCACAGGCTTCAAATTAAAATCCAGGAAGCTGGATTCTGAATTATTATTATTAATAATAATAATCAGGGGTCATTTCCTGCAGGAGCGCACAGGAGCGGAGCTCTGGCAGTAAAAAACCCAGGGGGCGGACACATGCAACAAGCCCCACCCCCTGCTCCCAGCAGCCCTCAGTCAGAACAAGAAGCAGCCAGGTAAATTGCAGAGCCCCCCCAGCCCCCCGGTCCAAAACAGTCCAGTGGCACCTTTAAGACCGAGTTTTATTCAGGTACAAGCTCTCCCTCCTCTGCGAGGACAGATCTGCACGTTCCCCCCCCTCCAGCAATCCAAAACCGTCCAGTGGAGCCTGAACAGTGGGTGTTACCTTCTGACACACTTCCAGGGTGTGTGGCATATGCAAATAAGTTATGCTAATGAGTTATGCTAATGAGCTCCTGCACCTCTTTTTCTACGAAATGACCCCTGATAATAATACAATTACATTTGTAGCCCATGTTTCTCCATGTGTCTCGAGGTGGACTACAGAAACCAAACAACAAAGATCTCTATTAAACAAAAAAATGCAGTAGGGCTAGATCTGAAGAATTGGAAAACAGTGCAAGCAAGCAAACAAAACTTGTCTAAGGCAACAACACTGTCTAGAGCAGGGGTGTCAAACATGCGGCCCAAAGATCAGGCCCCCAGAGGGCTTCTATCAGGCCCGCAGTGGAACTGACTGTCTTCTGCTGCTTCTTCCAGTTCTGCTGCTAATGCTTCATCATAGGTTTGCAGCTTACAGATACACACCTGAACAGCATACTCAAGATTGCAACAGCACAGACATTTTGATGCAATAATTCAGAGCAAGAGGTGTCAGTTATCAGACAGTGTTAAATAAACAAAATATTGCAAGAGTGCTAATGTTTTAAGCATGTTTTTATTTTAAGTTAAAAAAATTTTGTTTGTGTCCCTTATAAAGTTTATATCTCCACTACCTGGCATTACATTTTATGACACACATGGCCCAGCCCAACAAGGTCTCGTTTATGTCAGATCCAGCCCTCATAACAAATGAATTTGACACACCTGGTCTAGAATTTGGTGGAAGAACATAAGAAGAGCCCTGCTGGATCAGACCAATGGTCCATCTAGTCCAGCATCTTGTCTCACACAGTGACCAACCAGTTTCTCTGGAGGGTCAACAACAGGGCCTAGAGACCAAGGCCTTCCCACCGATGTTTCCTTCTGGCTCTGGGATTCAGAGGATCAGTGCCTCTGAATGCAGAAGTTCCCCTCAGTCACCATGGCTGCAAAATGACAGAAACGTGGGGTCCTTCCTCAAGCAGGCCATTCCACAGCATGGGAACCACCACAGAGAATGCACTGGAGTGAAATAAACACAGGAGAGGAGGTCCTGAATCTGATACCACATTCTCTCCTTTTGGGGTGCCCCTGTGGAATTGTGGCACGTGACTGCAGCATTGATTACCGGACAAGCTGGTTAAATATACACCTCTGTGTAGTTAAGTAAATGTGAAAGAAATCCATGGGACATGGATCAAAGCAAGATGTGGCATTCAATAACAGCCAGAAGTTTCTGTCCATCATGATGTACAGAATTTTCCAAAATTCAGCAATGCATTTAATGGCGCTGGGTTTTACTCTTGAATAGTTTATTTATAGCCCACCTTTCTGGCTTAGACACAGGGTGGGTTATACAGTGTAAAATGATGCGGTCAAATAGCATGAGACACCCAGTAAATAATGCAACAGGACTAAGATTATACAAATTAGAAGCAGTTTAACAATGTAGTAGCAGACATAATATGTCAAAAACAGTGCAAAAAATGGAATTACAAAAGTAGAAAACTATGTAGTAAGAGCAAGAAAACACAAATAGGCAGTGAAATGGACTACAGTTCCATACCACATTGTTGTTGTTAACAAAGTTCTTCTTAGAGTTGGCTTAATGTTTCATCAGAAGGAAAAGAGGTAAACATTATGTAACATTTCTGGGCCTCCTGCTTTTCTGCTCACTGCACTGTATTTGTTTTTTGACAGCATCAATCAGAATGGTCCCTCAGGAAGCCACGAGCATGGAAAAAGAAATGAGAACAACAACAAGCCTGCCGATATCCATATGTAGCCCTGCTGAA